GGGTGCTTCAGTGTGTGTGTGTGGTGGAATACCCAAAAGTGAGAGTCATGGATTATATGAAATGTCTGGGTTTTTTTTAAAGATTTATTTGTTGGGCCCTCCCTGGTGCAGTGGGTTAGGGCACAGCACTGCAAGCTAGCTGCAGCTGCTTCAGTGCAAGTTCAATCCCCCGCTTCGGAGATGACCCACATGGCACAGAAGACCTCTCCTGTCTCGCCCACCTCTCCTCAGCAGCGTACTTCATTGTTCTGCTCACCACCCTGTCTCTGGTGAGTCCTCTCACTGCCCCTGTACCCCTGGCTTGTACCATAGTTCTGTATGCATAAATAAATACATCTTTAATAAACTGGGGTACAGGCCAGAGGTCCAGGGGCGGTGAGATAGGAATAGGTGGACTGACAAAGTCCACTGCTGAGGGGAGCAGCAGGAGGCTCAGGAGAGGTCTGCTGCACTATGTGGTCACCTCCGGGCCTGGGGATAAAACTCACACTGAACTGGCTGCAACCAGCTTTCAGTGCTGCGTCCTTACCCATTGTGCCACTAGGGAGGGCCCAGCTGGCAAACTTTCAAAGCATCAGTTCCTAAAGAAATGGCAATTAGGCCCGCTACACATAGCATCTAGACACAAGAACAAATCTGATTGCTATTCCCTGTTCTGAGTCCGAGAGAAGTACCCCCAGGTGGCTCTTAGATAAGGGTCCCTGGGTAGCAGTATGACCAGGTCACACCCACAGAGTGCTGATAGGAGGCATGTGATTTTTAAGTTAGAAAGCCAAGAGAAAGATGATGAACTTTTTAAGGAAAGAAAATATCTTTCCCTGGAATCAGGAAATGTTAGGGCAAGAAGCTTCTCTGAAATGAATATTCTGTCCTGGCAGATCTGTTTTGGCCACCTACCACTCAAATACGAAATGGAGGTGGGGCTGCATAGGAGCCCAGGCAGGAGGGGTATGGGTGTGTATGTGGGGTCACCAGGTTGTCCCATTTGACCTGAATATTCCTGGAATGAGTCTAAATACCTGTGTGCAGTCAACAACAATAATATCCCCAGAGGCTGACCAGTGTATCTGGTAGAATGCAGGGTTGAAAGACTCAGCACACAACTTTTGGGGGTGAGATTTCAACCTTGTGACTTTTCCTGGAAGTGGACAAGCCTGCAATTCTGGGAAGCTAGTTCATTATCCATTTAAGAAAGAGGTCAAGATGGAGAAAGAAGGTCTTGGAATTCTTTGGAACAAATAGCTTTGCAGGGCTTGAGATCTAGACCTAAATTAGGACCACTCTGGCAACAAAAGCAGCCTCTCCCCATGGATCTTCCTGCTTCTGATAAGGAAGTAGCGATGAGGAAGAGGAGAGAGCGGGAGCTCAGAAAGGACAGGTCTACTGAAAGGGGATGCCTGGACAGTGACTCCCTTGGCCACTGTCAAGAGCCCAATTCCCCCAGTGAATGGAGGGAGACTTGTAAATCCAGAGTGGAGCTGGCTGGGAAGGTAATGAAAAGAGATAAAGTTTAGAGGAGCAGAGGAAAGAGGAGATTTCCAAGAGGAAGGGAAGAGAAGTTTAAAAGTCTTGGACAAGTGTAAAACTTTATGATGTCTCTGCTTTTATCTTGCCACTGCCCCTGGAATCAGAACTGTGCTCATTAGTGGACTCTGCCCCTGAGCAATGTGTCTGGAGAAAGAAGCCTCTGTCTGGATGCACTCAAAGTATATCCATGTTCCACAAATGGAGGATCCCATTCCTTTTTATCGCTGAGTAATATTCCACCATGTGTATGCATATACACATGTATGTACGCATAGATGTTTGTGTGTGTGTATATATACATGTGTATACATGTGTACACATTTATATACACACACATACCACATACCATTTATCCACTGATAAACACTTAGGTGGTTTCCATATCTAACTTGGAAGCACAGATACCTGTGAGGTGGTATTTTTCATTTCATTTAGGTAAAAACCCAGAAGTGGGATTGCAGGGTAGCTTTTAATTTTTTTTAAAAGATTTGTTTCAACTAGCAACAAGTGTTGGCGAGGATGTAGAGAAAAAGCAACTCTGCTGCACTGCTAGTGGGAATGCAAACTAGTACAACCACTATGGAAAACTGTTTGGAGGTTTCTCAAACTGCTAAAAATGGAGCTTCCATATGACCCAGCAATCCCACTCCTAGGCATCTACCCAAAAGACATAAAAACAATGATTCAAAAAGACACCTGCACCCTCATGTTTATTGCTGCTTTATTTGCAATAGGAAAGACATGGAAACAACCCAAATGCCCAAAAGTGGATGACTGGATTAAAAAGATGTGGTGCTGGGCCCTCTCTGGTGGCACAGCAGGTTAAAGCACAGCACTAAGAAGCTAAAGCCACTTCCGCATGAGTTCGATCCCCGCCTGCCCCGGAGGTGATACCACATGGCGAGGCAGACTTCTCCTGACCCTCCCGCTACTCCCCTCAGCAGTGTACTTCGACAGTCTGCCTGTTCTGCTCCCACTCTGTCTCTAGTGAATTCTCTCACCGCCCCTGCACCTCTGGCCTATACCCCAGTTCTGTATGCATAAATAAATAAATTTTTAAAGAAAAAAAAAAGATGTGGTACATATACACAATGGAGTATTACTCAGCAACCAAAAAAAATAAACACATGTCTTTTGCAGCAACATGGATAGAGCTGGAGAAGATCATGCTTAGTGAGATAAGCCAGAAAAAAACCTGAGACATTTTATGGGGGTGAAGTGGGGAATGGGATCAAAAACAGTGGGGGAAGGGAAATGCACCGGACTATGGTGATGGTACATGGGTGATCTGATGATGGGAAGCCCACAGGAATTACAACTGAGATTTTAAAAATGCACAAAATGATGTAAAAATAAACATTATTTTAAAAAATACTTTTGTTTCATTTATTTATGCATGCAAGAACTGGGGTACAGGCCAGAGGTGCGGGGGGTGAGAGGACTCACCAGAGACAGAGTGGGGAGCAGAACAGGCCTTTGGGAGAAAGTGTCCAGGCACAGGTGAGACATTGCGGCTTTGAGAGACGTCTGGAGCATGGTGAAGAGGTGTGGTCCAGAAGGGGCTGCAGGCGGCACATTGATAGCTTCATTATACTCATTTTTATTACAAAAAGGATAACAAGTAGTTCAAATTCAAAAGCACAGAAAAGGACAAATAAAGTTGTGTGTCCTCTACCCTAGACTCCCAGTACTGCCATAAGCAACTGCTCTGAGAGTCGCTGTCTACCAGGTTTCTAATCCTGTGTACAGCTGACCCTCAAACAATGTGGGTTTGAACTGTGGAGGTCCACACATAAGTGGATCTTTTTCAATAGATACCGTTGACCGTTCATATCTGTCAGTTCCCACAGATTCAATCAACCTTGCATGTCTGCTGGTGAACGCGAGCATTCAGGACCCTTCGATATGGAAAGCCAAATGTGGGGGAAAGTCCAGAAACCAACCCATTCACCCCACCACCCATGCCTACCAAGGGACAGCTTTGTTAGGTTTTGGGGGAATATAACATTACCCTAGGGGTTTCAATCCCCTAAACTCTCTATTGTTCTAGAGTCAAGTGTGATTTTTTTTTTCTGAGCAGAAATAGGATCATACAAGCCCTTATGTATCTTGCTTTTTTTCCACTTAAAAATACATCTTGGGGGCCCTCCCTGGTGGTGCAGCAGGTTAAAGCACAGCACTAAGAAGCTTAAGCCACTTCAGCATGAGTTTGATCCCCCAGACCCGGTGGTGACCCACATGGTGCGGCAGACCTCTCCTGACCCACCCGCTGCTCCCCTCAGCAGTGTACTTCCTCAGTCTGCCTGTTCTGCTCCCCACTCTGACTCTGGTGAATCCTCTCACCACCCCTGTACCTCTGGCTTGTACCCCAGTTCTGTTTGCATAAATAAATAAATCTTTAAAAATATATATCTTGGTATAACAGGATGGGTATTAAATTTATACAATTCTTGATGTGTGTGTGTATTTTTCTCTGTAATTCCCTGAAGCCAGAGACCCTTTTTTACAATGTTATGGCCTCCTATGCCTGTAACAGCTTCCTGGGCAACAAGGTATTCTACTGAAATGTTTAAAAACTTTAGCTGAATCCAAGGTGTGCATGTATGTTTTTCAAGGTTAATAACAGGTCTCCCAAGAACAGACTAGACCACTCCTGTGTGCCCCGGGCTCAGACTGCCTTCGCCCTCCAGGTGTCAGCTGGATACTCAGGGCACTCTTGGGGGTAAGCACTCCACTGCTCACACCCCAACCCTGTCACTCAGGGGAGACAAGGCGGGTAAAAAAAACAACACCCTCAAAGGAGAAATCACATTTTACTCAGATTGTCATTTGAGGAGAACAAGTATATCCACATTCTTTACAACAAATCGCACAGATTCTCATGTCTAGAGGAAGAAAGCGAGGTCCTATCCCCAAAATATTAGAAAAGATCAGCCTTAAAAGCAGAGAAGATCTTTGTCCCCAAAACAGCATGAAGCAAAAGTGGAACATTTCCTAGAAGCCATAGCTTCACAAAAGAATAAAACTACTCAGACAGGCCCACCATCCTGATCTCCCATGTCCCTGTCTTCACAAAAAGGAACAGCGGCTGCAAACTTTGTTAATCAGAGCCCATGAGAAGCGAGCACTTGAAGCACTAGAAACAGGGCCAGCCTGAAGCATCTCCAACATGCCTGATCCCCGAAGGGCAGGCAGCCTCCAGGCAGCACCTCAAGACCAGCAGGCCTGTAGAAGCCAACAAAGGCAAGGCACCAGCAGGGTCTCTTGTGTGCCACTGCGTTCAGGAGACTGGAGCTCAGAGGGAGGCCAGCTCCAGTTCCGGAGGAGGACCACCCTCTTTCTGGGATCTTCTCCCCCAGCTCAGGGAAGGCCAGAGCCATGCTCCAAACAGCAGGCCTCCCCTGCCTTAGCTTTTTATATGGATTGGACACAGCCCCTGAAAGTGATGCTAAGAAACAGGAACATCTTTTTCCCTATACCCACTGGCTCACCAGTAGCTCACCAGACCCCAAGTGCCCTGGGCCAGAGCTCAGAGGGCCAGGTGCTTTGATGGAGGCGCTGTGGACAGGATGTCTTGGAGCAGCGACTTGAATGCTCGTCGGCTTAGTCCCCACGGAGGTCTCTCTCCACTTGGCATCCAGATTCCTCATGTACCTCTGGACCCAGTGGTGCTGGGGGCTGCCACAGAACTTCCTGCCCTTCTTGGTGGTGAAGCTGTGGGAGTTAAAAAGGGCACACTGAGGTCTGGCTGGGACGGGGGCCACGTTATGAGAGCTGGGTTTGGAGGCCCAAGCAGGGACACTTCTTGTCCAGGCCCCGGGAGCTGCTGCTGTGACGTCTGTCCGTGCATCTGTCCGTGTCTCTGCTCCAGGGCTCACGTCCAGCAGCCTACCTGCCAGATGGGGGTGGCCCTGCTGGATCGGCAGGGAGAGACACAATCCCTCCATGGAGAGGAGGGGAGAATGGAAAGTGCATCGAAAACCCTCCAGAGAAAAGTGGGATGCCTCTTTCCGGGTGTAGCCAGGGCCGTGGCCCATCAGGATGCCAGAGCCAGGAGGGTGCAGTGAGATGTCCTCTCCCTAGCTGGCTCTGAGCTGGGGTGCCAGGCTGTAGAACTGGGCCTGGGCCAGTTGAGGAAATTTTTCTAATATCAAGGTCCTATGAGATAAAATGTGTTCACACCCACTCTTTCCTGTAAGAGGCAGTACTGAAGTTATGTGGAGTCCTGGGGGAGCTTGAGCAGGTGACGTTTCTGACCTTCAGCCGCTTTCTCGAAAATGGAGTCAGCTCTAGTCATGGGCCGTTGGAGAGGGTTGTTAAGTTAATATGTTTGTTCTGCTATTCCTCTGTATACCTGGGGCTCAATAAGCAACTATTGACCCTACATCTTTTTTCAGGCTTTACGGCTGAGAAAGCCGAGGCCCAGAGAGGTGACATGACTTCCCCAGGGTCACAGAGCTGGGGTCTCTGGCTTTGTGCCTCAGTGACCCTGTAAACCCATCAGGGATCCCAGGGGGAGTTACTTACATGACCCCAGCCCTGGGGCAGACACTCCCCCTGGAGAATTGGTAGCTTACTATTCTGTTCTCAGGAATTTTCTTGGAAATGAAGGACATGCAGCAGAAAGAAGGGATGACCACAGAGCCTATGAGGAGGTAAAACAAGGAAAAAAAGTCACATTCTTTCTCAGGTTTCCCTAAACTCTGAGCAATGCGTTCCCTTCTCTGGCTCCCCTCCAGTCCTAGGTTGGCCAATCCTGCATCCTCCCACTATATCATCCCAGCCACACCGTTGCCCTCGGACAACTGTCCTGCCTGAGAGACCCCAGAAGTCTTACCTGCAGGGGCAATGCAGTGGGCACACAGGGCCAGGAGCAGGAGCATGACAACATGGGTTGTGGGACCTGCCATGACCTAGAGATCAGAGAAAGCAACACAGAGCTCAAAACTGGGGTACAAAAGAAGAGGGGTTGGGAACAAGGGGCCCAGTTCCTTGTGGAACACCCAATGTCTCTCTGCCCTTTGTAGGGACATCTAGGAGAAAACACCCCTTCTCAGTCTTCTTTAAAGCCTTGATCCCTCTGCGGTCTTAAATGGGGAAGTTATTGCCCAGCTGAGTCAGGGTTATTTGAGGTGCTCTAAGAAAAGGCTGGGAGAGGGGCACATTGCCCATCCTGTGCAAAGGGCGAAAGTACTAGGTTCAGAGTCAGAAGCTGATGCACACCCTAGCCATGCCACTCACGCTGTGGGGCCCTGTGTAAGTCACTCACCCTATGAGCCTCGCTTCCTCAGCTGAAATGGGGGCATAGCTATTGGAGACCAGCTCCAACTATTGAGGTGTCTGGAGGCAAGACAGGCAGGACCCTAAGGTGGGAAGGCGTCGGCAAGTGGAGATTCCTAAGAAAGAGGGAAAGGGAGAAAAAAGAGGAAAGGGGGGGTGAGGAAGACACAGGAGTCGGAGTTGGGTGCAAGTCTTCCTGCTCTGCCTTCAGCAGAGGTTTATTTTATACATTATGAGCAAGCAGTGGGATGACATCAGCACAGGAACTGGGCTGAGAGATTACAATCATCTTTTTTTTCTAAGAATAGTTTAGGGTCGTATTGCCCTTTAGCTGAGATATAACATTCTAAAATCAATTAAGGTTAAAAACAGGTACATAGGTGCACAAAGTTTATGACTAATATTACTATAGTGGAGATCAACTAAGATAGAAGTCCCTTAAACCTTATCTACTACCTTAATGGGTTTTTGTTTTTCTGCCTGAGTCATCCTGGGAGACAGAAGAGGAAATTCCTTGTTAATCAAATCTCTGAATAGGAGACATAGGTGGATTTCTTTATCTAAAGACTACATAGTAGAATCCTGAAAAACTAGCAAGAAGACTTTTGTGGATTCCTTTAAGGTGTAGCAGGTGGAAAACTTGACTAGTTTAAAAACAGGCAACCTGGATGAATTTCCACATCTAAAGCCCAAACAATAGGAAGTTCGAGTAATTCTTTAAAAGGCTGAATAGAAGGCTAGGTGAGATGATAGAATGATAAGATTTGGGTTATCCTCCATCGGGCAGTGAGAGAGACTTTGCAAAAACAGCCCTTTTGCTTTTATCAGTCAGTAGTCATGTCACTTGACTTCAGGGGAATTTTTTCACCCTGGTGCAGTGCTTGCTTGTCAGGGCAGGCAGGCCTTGTGCGGCTGAGGCAGTCCAATTGTAAGCTGAAAGTTGTTCAGAATATTTTGATATTACGGTTATACAAAAAAGGGAGGTTATAACATAAGCTAGCAGTGGAAAGTCCAATTTTTCAGAGCTTTTCCTGATCTACCCCGAATCTGTCAGACGATAGAGGTTGCATAGCTTGTGTCACGTAGCCATCCTATCACCTTCCATCCATTCATCCATCCATCCATCCATCCATCCATCCATCCATCCATCCATCCATCACGTTCCTACTCCTATTAAGCATGTGCTACTTACCAGACTTCTGGTGGGGACACAGATCTGTGGTCAAGTGTGCAAAAAAAAGTTATTGCCAGTGTTGACCACGAAGTGAACACACACCTGCCCCTACCTCCTTGGGCCCCTTCATCTGTGAGTGGACGCTGGCTTTCGGTGGCCTTGGTTCGCAGCTCAGGCTTCCAGGCCACCCAGTCTCCCCAGGAAAGTGAGCAGAGCCTGGAAATGTGCGTCCTCCGCAGTAGCCTGGCAGGAGAAGCTGGAGGGAGCGGAGGCAGGCTCCAGCTCAGGAGCCCCCGTGGCCGAGTCAGTTTTCCTCCTCCTGGCGAGACTTTGGGGGGGTCTCCTCTTCCAGGTCCACTTGCCCCATTCCTGCTGATTCCCCTCCTCTCTCTCTTCCCCCCCCCCCCCGAGAAACACTCCCTAAGGAAGCTCTAGCCTAATAAATCAAATCCCCTTCTCCAGATCTTCCTGACACAAGAGCTGTGCGTGGAAAACTGGGCAACAGAGGAAGAGCCATCACTTCTGCTGGGATGAAATTGGAGGACACATTCAAAGTGGGCAGCTGTGCTGAGCGTGTGTGGGTGGGTGACAGCCAGTGGTAACCACACTGGGCTCTCCAGGTCAGTTGCTCAGGACTGAAGAGACTTGGCAGAATGAGGTGGCACTCACTTCATTCAGTCCTCATCTGGGCTCCCAGGGCAAAATCCATACTTTGACTCTTGTCACTGTTGCTCCCAGCCCTGAGCCCCTCTGGCCCCTCCACTAGCCTCCTCTTCATGCACCTCTCAGGGAAATGCTGGCTTCTCTGCTGTCTTCTCGGACCCCTCAGGACAGCAGGAACGACCTGTCAACCTGGTGGTGGCCGGTTCTGTGTTTGTGTCTCCCACTGGAACATGAACACCGTGAGGTCAGGCCTCATTTCCACATCCAACAGGTCTTGAAAAGATCAGCGATCCCAGGGCCCATGTTTGTAGGATGATGGAGCAACTCTGAGTCGCACCGCTCTGGACCAGAGACTCCCAATCTTCCCAGGGCCTCCACCCGGTTGGCTGGGGTTACCCTGCGGCCAAGAGGCCAGCCGGCTGATCCACTGATCAGGCAGACCCATGTCAGGAAGCCAGCGACACTCGCCTTCTTTACAGTGGCAAATGTGGGGAGCCCCACTTACGAGCTCCTTATATTTGCACCTTTTCCTCATCAGCCAACAACATCATCGCTGCTCAGTGAGCAGAGCATGGGGGAGAACTGAGCAGGAACCCCTTTACTTTGCATGATTCTGTGTTGACGCCCCTTTCTGTAGCTGCCTCTCGAAAACTCCGAGGTGACAGCCTGTATTTTGTCCAGGTTTTCTGACAAAACCTGGAGCAGGTTGCAGGAGGGAAGTGAAGACAAAAGCACAGGCATAGCAGCAGGAGATAGGGCCGAGCAGGTAGGTGGCAGCAGGCTCTGCTCTCCCGTGTTGCAATCAGTGGGAAGCAGGAGGCCCCTGAGTGGGAGGGTTTGTGGTGAGGTGCTTCTCCCGAGCTTAGTAATGCCCTTTGAGAGCTTTTCTGAAGCCTTAAGAAAAAGCACCCGTGTTCTATTGCTGCCCAGGGAAGTAGGCCAGCAGGTTTTACCAGCCCCATTTCACAAAGGGAAAAACTGAAGTCAGAAAAGTGTAAGTGACTAGCAGCTTACAGAAGCTGGCCTTGGCTGCAGGATGGAAATCTGTGCACTTCCTACTCTGCTGAGACAATAGCATGAGTGTTTCAAGGAAGAGTAGGTGGAAAGTTTCTAGGAAAGCAGATTTGAAAGGGACAGAGGGGATAAGCAGGAAGAACAAAAAGGAATAGGAGGATGGCAGGAAGTGGGGGGCAGGCCATCAAGGCGGGGAGGGGAGGAGAGGGGAGGGGAGAGGACGCAACTGTCTGGCCTGAGAGCTGGCTCTGCCCAGAACTGCACCTTGGGGGAGGGGGTCGCCAGGGGGCTGGGGACTGCTCCTGGGAATGCTCCCCTGAGTGCAGCAATCACACCACCATGGGTGACACAGGCATGGGCATTTTTCATTTTAATCTATGCATGTCTTGTTATGGTAGCCCTCTCCGGTAAGGGGTTTCAGATTTACGGTAGTAATGTGAGATTTTCCCAGAATAAAAAATATGAGTTGACATAGCAGAAGCATAAAGGACCAGGGGGAGAAATAACAAGAATGAACAACTATATACCAGAGACATTTTCAGGGGTGGAGTGGGGAATGGGATCAGAATGGGGGGAGGGAATCTTGTAATCCACAGGGATTACAAGAGATGGACAAAGACACAAAATGGTGTAAAAATAAACTATTTTTAAAAAGATTAAAGCAAAAAAAAATGAGTTGATCAAAAAGAGAAAAATTGCAGAATAAATGGTGTGCACATCATAAAAGTCATGATAGTCCAAGAATATCTGAAGTCTGGGAAACCTGTCTGGTCAAGGTGATCTCTGAGGCCCGGGTCCCTCCCACAGACCATGCAGAGCCTGGAGAGGAGGAACAGAGGGCTGGGAGAATGAGCACTTGGGGGAAGAGAAAGGCCTCAGGGAAGCTGTCCAGGCCCTTCCCTATATGCAAGGAAACAGGCTCAGGGTCCAGAGAAGGGTAGAGCTGACATTTGAACTAAGTTCTCTCTAAATTCAATTTCACTGATGTTTCCCAACTTTGGAGTTCAGCCTTGATCTTGAGGTGGTGGGCGACCCACAACTTTGAGGTGCAGGTAATGTTGTAGGGCACCCCAATTCTGTTATATGACAGGGAGAGCGAGAGGCACCCCTGAAGCCCCAAACCTGCCTGCTCTAAGTGGGTTCTGCCATCCGCCGCAACAAGACAAAACATATATAGCTTCAATGAAAAGGGACTTTAATACAGTGAATATACAATACGGAACACAGAGAATATAACTTCTAAATCAAACACCTGAAGTTACCCATCCCCTCGTGGGCAAAAGTCAACCCAAAAGGGACTGGCCCAAAGCAAGGCGTGAAAGCTGCCACAAGACTAAAGCACCTTCTGGCCGGGACCCATGGAAAAGGTTCAGAAATGGCCAGACAAATCTGGGAGGAAAAGAGCAACATCAAAATCAATATAAACACTGCCATAGTCACCTCCCTACAGGTATCTCACCCACATCTGCCTTAACCAGTCCAGGGTCAGGAAACAAGCCCGGTTTCTTCCTCACAGGCTTGCTGCTCCATGTGGCTTCCTCAGGTCTCCTCCTTGTTCTCCATCCAGTTTCCTTGTCTTCTTCTCTCTTGATT